TTGATTCTATTTATTTGCTTGGGAATTGTATTGCTGCATAAATATTCATTATATTAGTGTGAAATGACCAACAAGTAGCTTAGCTTCCAAGAGTAACGTTGCATTTGGAAATCATTTCTTATCGTTCGTAAGCTGCTCTTATAAGGTTTACAATGAGCACCACACCTTACACATGCTTGCGTGATTGGAAACAAATTTGAGGCATCTTTATTCTTTCTAGACAAGATCTGAAGAACTGCAAAGCTCTTAACGGCGAGTTCCATCTTCGAAGAAGATACCGCCATCGAGGGCGCAGTATTTGGGGCAGATACCTCTTTCGCCACCTCCTCCGGAGTTTCCTGGTCCTCCAGGCTGTCCCGGGTTTCCGGCAGGTCCTGGCTGACCAGCAGGTCCAGGTGGTCCCTTGGGTCCTGGTTCTCCTGAAAAAGGAGTCAATTAAAAGAACACTCTTTCACGCAGAAACATTCACAAACCTTGGCCGCCACCATTTCCGGGTTGCCCATCAGGTCCGGGTTGTCCTGCTGGTCCAGGTGGTCCTTGTGGGCCTGGCGCTCCTGGAGTGGGTGGAGTTGAGGTGGCAGGCTGTCCAGGATTTCCAGGTGCTCCAGGGATTCCGGGGTTTCCGTTGGGTCCTGGTGGTCCTTTTGGTCCAGGTGCTCCTGGAGTTCCTCCGGATCCACCGTATCCTGGTGTACCGTCGGATCCGGCATCTCCTGCTGGTCCAGGAGGTCCAGCTGGTCCAGGTGGTCCAGCTGGACATGGTTGGCATGGTGGGGGAGTTCTGGGATTGCAATCAGATCCTCCTGATCGACCGGGGTTTCCTGGCATACCGGGTGCACCGGGTCGTCCTGGCTTTCCAGGTCGTCCTGGTGTTCCTGCTCCTCCTGGTGGTCCGGGATTGCAACAACCGCTGCAGCCACCGCCTCCACCATTGGATCCAGTGTTGGTGTTTCCTTGTACCCCTTCCTCGCCGTAGCCAGATTGGCGAGCAGTTCTGTTTCCTGTGGGGATGTTCTTCATGTGAGTTACTTCACCCCAGATGTCGCTGGCAGATCTCTATAAGATATATATTCTAGAAATCAAGAAATGTTAAAAATCTCTGGGAAAAGGTTTGGTTATTACCTTGCAGAAGCGTATCTCGCTCTTCACTGACTGCTTCACATGGCTCACATAGTTGTACACCATCGGTAATGTGATGCAGACCGAAAGTACTGCAACCACTGAGAAGGTAACAGCCGAGTAGGCGACGAAGCGGTAAGCTTTGAGACGATGATCTGAATCCATTGGTGGACTGGTGATGTCCTTTTTGCCATTCAAGGGTCTTATATACTAGCATGGC